CTTTGATCCATTTGAATTTAAGTTTTGTTCATGTCACATTCTTCTACATGCCAACATCCAGTTATGTCAGTACCACTTGTTGAAGATGCTTTCCTTTTCCATTGTATATTTTTAGCTTCTTTGTCGAAGATCAGATGTTCATACGTGTATGGGTTAATATCGGGTTGTTCAATTGGGTTCCATTGGTCTACCTGTCTATTTTTGTGCCAATATCAAGCTGATTTCAGTACTATAGCTCTATAATAGATCTTGAAGTCAGGGATGATGATGCCTTCAGAAGTTCCTTTACTTTACAAGGTTGTTTTGGGTATCCTTGATCTTTTGTTTTTCCATACAAAACTGAGTATTATTCTTTTAAAGTCTGTGAAGAATTGTTCTGGTATTTTGATGGGGATCGCATTAAATCTGTAGATTGATTTTGGCAAGATTGCTATTTTTACTATGTTGATCCTACCTATCCAAGAGCATGGGCAATCTTTCCACTTTCTGATATCTTCTTTAATTTCTTTCTTTAAAGACTCAAAGTTCTTTCTACACAGGTCTTTCACTTGTTTGGTTAGTGTTACCCCAAGATATTTTATGTTGTTTGAGGCTATTGTAAAGTGTAATGCTTCTCTGATTTCTTTCTCAGCCCATTTATAGTCGGTGTATAGTTGAATTACTGAATTTTTGAGTTAATCTTGTATCCTGCCACTTTGCTGAAGCTGTTTATCAGCTGTAGTAGTTCCCTAGTAGAATTTTTGGTCACTTATGTAAACTATTATATCATCTGCAAATAGTGAAAATTTGACTTCTTCCTTTCCAATTTATATTCCCTTGATATTATTTTGTTGTCTTATTGCTCTAGCTAGAACTCCGAGTACAATATTGAGGAGATATGGAGAGGGTGGACAGCATTGTCTTGTTCCTGATTTTACAGGAATCGTGTTTTCTCTCCATTTAGTTTGATGTTGCCTGTTGGTATACTGTACACTGCTTTTATATGTTTTGGCATGTTCCTGTTATCCCTGAAGAACAGAGACTTTGATCTGTAAAGAGTTACTAACAGATCAAAAAGAAATGTTAAATGTATTAAAACATTAACAGTATGGTTTATTTGAGTTCTATTTTGTGCTAAATAAAAGCAAATGTTTGTAAGCTCCTTTTTTATTTTAATATTCACAAATACTCTTTTTGTTTGTTTTACTGCTTTTACAATCTGAAGATAAAAATGAAATAAAAGTGCAAGCAAGATAAATAAATAAAAATTAGAACTAATGTCATTTGATGTTTCACATTGGGAGCAGGTTCCCAATGGAGAATTTGAATGTATGCTTCTCAAAGACGAAATGCAAAAAAGTTTGGAAAAACAACCCTACTAACTAATTCTTAAGTCACTAAACAAGACCACACAGTTTTACTGTGATGATGATTTATTGGTTTATGAATAGCTAGCATTTAAAAGTCAACCAACATGAAATGAAAACACCCTGCAATAATGAAACATGGTGATAGATATGTGTGGCTCACACATTGTCATAAAGCACATAGGGAGAGTCAGTAATGAATCTCATAAAGCAAAGGGATTTATCTTCCCCAAACAAACAAAACATGACTGAGAACAGATGAGTCCTCAAAACTCCAATGTATTAATAAGGTTGTCCTTTTTTTCTAGAATACAGAATGGGGAAAGGGCCTCCTCAATGCATGATTTTAGTCTTTAGAAATCATACCAGAAAGAACTGCTTTTCATAGCTTAGGGTATTTATCAACCCATTGTGACCTTAGCAAGATTGGCAAGAAGATGAATGAGTCCTTGGTACTGGGTGAATCCTGAAATTACTTGTTTCTAAGAATCTTCCAGCTGGTGATGATGAAATCACACTAGAACAGCAAGCCTTTGAAAGCACTTCTAATAAGAAGGCCTAAATAATAAATCTCATTCTAACATGCTTATTCTTGGTTTGTAGCCAATGACCCATATACACCTCAGTAGTCTCCCTTCACAGCCTTAGACCAGAAGCAAGAGGCATCTCAGCTTTTCTTTGAAAACACCTCCATCACCTTGTCCTTTTCTACTTTATTACTTCAAATTAACAACCACGATAAAGCTCAAAAAAGTCCAGTGTTTACACAGGAAAAAAGTAAGAATTCCCCCCAAAGTTCTTCAGTAATTTTTTTTCAGTTTTTTAAATTACAAAGTAATAAAAAGTTTTGCTCTTTAATTAAAAAAAAAGGGAAAAAGAGGTAAATAAATTAGGAAATACACACACCAAGAAAACAAACAAAAATAAAATTAAAAACCAGGTGTTAAACCAGGAAAGGTAAATTCAAAACTTAACCCTGACCCAGGGTCCTACTCAAGAGTCAGGCCCGGGGAGAGGAGTGACCACAGGTGACTGTCAGGACCAGGGAACTACACGGTAAGTCAGAGCCGATGCCATCTGGGAACAGACTCTGTGAACTTGCCTTAGGATCAGGTATGGAAGAAAGATGGGGTTGCCACACACTGGCATCTGAGAACAGGTGGTGGCAAGGACTCTAAGCCCTGAGGGATGTGGAGGTCATTGTCCACCCCACCTTGACTTCATGGGGACGAGAACAGAAACTTGGCCAGGTAAGATGGCAGGTCACCTGCTGCTCTGGAAAATACAGGTCACACACACACACACACACACACACACATTCACACTGCCACACAGTCACACACTCACACATGCACAAGGCATCATGGCCACCACCTCACCGCCCCCTCAAGGTCCCTGCATAGAGGTGACAGGAGGGGGGGAAGGGGGACCAGGATGCTCAGGGGGACTCTGGGAACGCCCAATACAAAGCTGGCCTCTGTCGCTGCCAAGGGGCTGCAGCTGTGCGTGCGTGTCTCCTTGGATCCGAGACTCACAAAACCTCATGGGACTTATCTGTGACTGGCAAACCACTCCCTGACGCAAGCTCTTCAGGCGCCTCCATCGGCTGCCCGGCATGTGGTGGGTGGCCGCCGGGAGGCAACGGGGGCTGGCGTATGACCCAATGCCACTAGAGGAGTGTTGGCAGCCTTCGGTGGGGAGCAGTGGGCAAGGTGAGGGGACAGGAATCCTCAGTGATAAGGACAATCTTGTCTTTTTTGCCATTGGAAAAATAAATCAAAGAAACAAAGTCCATTGTTGACTCTGTGCTGGGTTGTGTGTGTGTGTGTGTTTTTTTTTTTTCCTTTTTGTTCACTTGAGTGGTTGGTTCTTTCTTTCTGTCCTTTATTTTGTTTTGTTTCGTTAAGAAAATGCAGTGAAGACACTAAGCAAACACTGGTCGGTGGTGGCTCTCCTCATTTCCCGAGATGGTCAAATGGCACGCTTGTCTGTGAGGCTGAAATCCGGGAGACCTCTTGCCGCCCAGTGAGGTCACCCCTTGTCCACACCTCTTTGCTCTTGGGGTCTCTGCTTGGGACAGCACATCAGAAGGGACCGGCAGCTGTCGCCAGGGCCAGTGTGACCTGTTGTCGTGTGGTACATCCAGGGGGCACTCAGGGGGCCGAGGCAGGCAGAGCTTTGAGGTTGAGGCCAGCCTGGTCTACAGAGTTCCGGGCTAGCCAGGACTTCATAGTGAGATCTTGAAGATGAATAAATTAAATATATATAGAGAGTAAATAGTTTAAAAAAATGGATATTTCCTTGTTCTAAGGCTATATCTGGGTGTGCTGTCAGTGCAGAGCTCAAAAATGACTTGAAAACATCCATTGTGTGGCTGTCTCATCAATTTTAATGAGTTAGTGCTCCACCCCCCAATTTGGCTTAATTTATTCAGAGGTGAAATGTTTATATATATGAAAGTCACGCTATTAAACAACAACCATAAAAAAAAAAAGAAAACACCTCCATCACCCCACCAACAAAGGTGAGGCTGGGTTCGAGAGTTTACATGTCCAAATGGCTACTCCATTGGTGGGCATCTGGGAAAAATACTTATTTTGTCATCCCTGTGTGTAACATTAATTGTTCAAATATATTTCATCACATTCACTAAATTGAAAGTTAGTATTTATATTCCAGTCTTACCATGTCTGTGAACCCAAACATCTCTCTAACTATTTCCTTCCTATCAATAGTTTGCTACTCCTTCTTGTGCATTTGAAAAGCTTCAATTATCTCTGGATATATAGGCAAACCCATGGAGAAAATGCATTCCACATCATCTCCTAGTGGTATTTGGAAGCAAGTGAGAATTTCAGTACCCATGCATCATCCTGATAGGAACTATACAGTGTGCTCAGGAGATATGAGGTCTTTTGGACAGACTCTTGAATTAGGAAGAAGTGCAGAAGCAGGTAGGTTCCTATTGAGAAGTAGCATTCAATCCAAACATTGGGTCCTAACCCTAAACCAGAGTCATACTGATTTCTTAATGGGCACCTTAGGTTTGATTCAGGTCTCAGGAACTCTGCAGAAGTTCTGAGGTTTCCAAATGCCTGTCAGTCATTGCAAAGCTCTGTGACACAGAACACTCTTCGGTATCTTCACAAATAAACTCAAGAATCTAAGGCATTTTCCAAGAATGTGCCTTACAATTTAATAGGTACAGCAAATAGCACCATGACAAGCAAGACCTATTATAAGATCGTGTCTTCTTCCTTCCTTCCTTCCTTTCTTTCTTCTTTCTTTCTTTCTTTCTTTCTTTCTTTCTTTCTTTCTTTCTTTCTTTCTTTCTTCTCTTTCTCATTCCTAGTACAAAACATATGTTTTTCATTTACCAGTACATCAACAAATGTTTGTGAATGAAAACATGACAGCACTAGACTCATGGACTTTCTCCTCCATTTTCAGGATACCTGGATAGGAAGTATCTCTCTACCAATGAGGAACAAAAGCAATTTTGATAACACTACTTATTGTGCTTTTCTAAATATGGACAGTGAACAGATGTACATTAGGAGCCCAGAAGATGGATAGGAAAAGCCCAGGTGAATGATTCATCTCACATGATAGACTGATGGCATGCTATGTTTGTGAGGTCCTCTTAAAACTCACTTCTTCCATGTAGGATTTCAAACAGTGACCTCCACTGGAGTCTTCTCCCTAGAGGCAAACAGGTTGAAAAAGTCAGAAAGGGACAGAAAGAAAAGTACAATATTGCAGAAGGCAATGAGGTCCCACACACATGGACAAACGAAGCCCATGATACCATCACTTTGACAACTTTAGATTCTCTGGGGGAGATAGCATTTCTTTCAAATGCAGACACAACTTGTAAGTACATTTAAGTTCAAGTAAACATTTATTAAATATCAGAGAAGGCTAGGCAGGTTTATGAAATTTACCTTTAATAATTTTTTATGTTCTTAAATGTACATGAAGTCACTAATTAACTTAGGAGGAACAGGCTGATATTTCTGAGAATTGAAACAGTACAAATCAATATGGTAATATGTCTTCACAAATCATGTTTCTCACTAGCATAAACACAAAAAAATCAATATACTGCAGTTTGAAAGTCTCCAAATTCTTCTAAAATTACAGGAGTTTCAAAACATAATGCAGTCAAAAGATAGGCTAGCACCTTTAATGCCAGTACTAGGAGGCAGAGGCAGGTGGATCTCTGTGAGTTCAAGGCCAGTCTGGTCTACAGAGTGAGTTCCAGATAAATCCAGAGAAACCCTGTCTTGAAAAACAAACAAAAATAAGACAAAACAACAGCATCAACAACAAAGATGGGACAGCCTTGTATTCTTAAATAATAAGGTATTTGGAGAAATAAAATTTGTATAAGTCCTCTAAAAACTGAAAAAGTTTAACTTGAGTCCCTAAGTTGAACACTTAATCCCTCATAGTTGAACAACTAACCCAAGAATTCTGTAGACCCTACCATTGTGTGTCTTTAGTGGGTAATTATCTTCCTTCTGTCTCTCCACAGTTACCAGGGAAATGACCACAACATGGCAATTGCTTCTGATGACAAATACGCTAAGTGGCCACTGTGTGAAGCCTGTATGGCAGGTCTTTGAATACTGGAAGATGTGATGTACAATTTCAGAATTCTCAGTTGCTCACTGAGGAGATGGGTTTTATTGTTTCCAGCTGGAAAACAATGGTTTCCCAGTTTGCCTAGATGACTCCAGTCTTCTGCTGAGATTTGTTGTTGACTGAGGATTTTCTTGATTATTGAGTATCAATATACAATAAATAGGCTTCTTGACACCCTTGCTTCTTCCAACTGTGAGACAATTGTGAGTGTCCATGCCCTAGCAAATGATGGCCAAAGGTAACAATACCTATATAAAATCATCCTTGTGAGGCTCACACAGAATTAAGGCAGACAAGTTAGGAAGTGGGAAGGACTTATACCTTTCTGTCCATGAAAAGGATGTTTTAGCTGGAGTCATCCTTGTGGATTTCTGGGAGTTTCCCTGACACCAGATTTCTCTCCAAGCTCATAATGGCCTCCTCTAGCAAGATATTTCTTTCATTGCTCTCCCTCTCCTTCCCTTCCCCAACTAGATCATCCCAATCCTTCATGTTCCTGTCCCCTATCCCCTTCCCTCTACCCCTGTACTCCCAGTTTACCTAGGATATCTCATCTATCTCCCCTTCCCAGGGTAATCATGTGTCCCTCTTTGGGTTCTTCTTGTTACCAAGCTTCTCTGGAGCTGTGGATTGAGACATGGTTATCCTTTGCTTTACATCTAATATCCACTTGTTAGTGAATACATACAATGTTTGTTTTTCTGAGTCTGTGTCTTTTTTAGCACTGAGTAATACTGCACTGTGTGGATAGACTACATTTTCTTTATCCATTCAGCAGATGAGGGGCATGTAGGCTGTTTCCAGATTCTGGCTATTATAAATAATATTGCTATGAACATAGTTGAGCTAGAGTCCTTGCGGTATGATTGAACATCCTTTTGGTATATGCCCAGGAGTGGTATATGCCGGTAGCTGGGTCTTGAGGTAGATTGATAAACAATTTTCTCAGAAACCACCATACTGATTTCCAAAGTGGCTGTGCAAGTTTGCACTCCCACCATTAGTGAAGGAGTGTTTCCTGTATTCCACATCCTCTCAAAAATAGGCTGCCATTAGTGTTTTTGATCTTAGCCATTCTGACAGGTGTAAGATGGTATCTCAGAGTCCTTTTGATTTGAATTGCCCTGATAGCTAAGGATGTTGCATATTTCTTTAAGTGTATTTTGGCCATTTGAGCTTCATCTTTTGAGATTTCTCTGTTTAGTTCTGAACCCCAAGTTTTAATTGTATCATTTGGTATTTTGAGTCAACTTCAGCTAAGACTCCTAGCAATAGTGGAGAGGGTACCTAAACTGACCTTCTACTGTATTCAGATTGGTGACTACTCTAATTGTCATCATAGAACCTTCAGCCAGTATCTGATAGAAGCAGATGCAGAGATCCACAGTCAAGCACTGGGCCAAACTAGAGAAGCCCAGTTGAAGAGAGGAAGTGAGGTTCGTATCAGCAAGGGAGATTAAGACCATGATAAGGAAACCCACAGAAACAACTGGCCTGAGTATGTGGGAGCTCAGGGTCGTTAGACAGACAGCTAGGAAGTTTGCATGGGACCAACCTAGACCCTCTGCATGTGGGTGACAGTTGTATAGCTTGGTCTGTTCATGAGGTCCCTAGCAATGGGACCAGGACGTGTCTCTTGAACATGAGCTCAATATTTGGAACCTATTCCCTATGATGGGATGCCTAGCTCAGCCTTGATGCAGTGGGGAGAAGCTTGGTCTTGCCTAAACTTGCTATGTCATGCTTTGTTGATACCAATAGGAGACTTTACCCTTTATGAATGGAGATGGAGGAGAAGTGGATGGTGGTGGGGGTAGGCAGATTGTGGGGGGAAGGGAACAAGCAGAGAGGAACAGGGGAAACTGTGGTTGGTAAGTAAAATAAATTTTAATAATTAATTCTAAAAATTTACAAAACATAAAAGGAAATTTTAATGGCTCACGAGAACTGTCTCATTAGACATACAATCCATACTTGGAACACTTCTTATATATCCACTGATTTATATAAGAAGCTAACATTCTTTAAAACTGCAACAGTCATACAGGGGAGTCTTTTTTTAAGTCGTTTTTATTTTTAAATACAAATTAGAAACAAGGTTGCTTCATGTATCAATCCCAGATCTCTCTCTTTCTCCCTCCCCACACCCTCCAAACAAACCCCTATCCCCCTCCCCAAATCCTCACTCCTTTCCCCAGGGAGGGTGTTCATAGCCTGTTATTTCATCCCCCAAGAGTCCAGGCTGAGATATCATCTCTCATTGTGGGATGGGCACCCAAAGTCCATTTTTATGTCAGGGATAAATATTGATTTACTACCCAAGGCCCCATAGATTGCCTAGGCTTCCTCACTAACACCCACATTCAGGGAGTGTAGATCAGTCCCATTCTGAATTCCCAGACATCAGTCTAGGGTTCAAGAGCTCCTCCTTGTTCAGGTCAGCTGTTTCTGTGGGTTAAAGAAGTCCATATTGACTCCTATGCTCACCTGTCCTCCATCTCTGACACTGGGTTCCTTTAGTTCAGCTCAGGGTTTAGCTGTGGGTGTCTTTCTCTGCTTCTATCAGTCATTGGTTGAAGGTTCTGTTTCCCATACTTTCTGGCAGTAGGCTGGCACTCCTGTGATCCGTGTCTAAAATCCATATATGAGTGAGTACATACCATGTTTCTCTTTCTGTGACTGGGTTACCTCACTCAAGATAGTTTCTTCTAGTGCCATCCATTTGCCTGCAAATTTCAAGATTCCATTTTTTTCCCCGCTGAGTAGCACTCCATTGTGTAAATGTACCGCATTTTCTCCATCTACTCTTCAGTTGTGAGGCATCTAGGTTGCTTCCAGGACCTAGCTACTACATATAATGCTGCTATGAACATAGTGAAACAGACATCTTTTTTGTGTGAATAGGCATCTTTTGGGTATATGCCTAAGAGTGGAATTGCTGGGTCTTGTGGTACATTGATCCCCATTTACCTGAGGAATCTCCATACTGATTTCCAAAGTGGCTGTATGAGATGGAACTTCCACCAGCAGTGGAGGAGTGTTCCCCTTTTCTTCACATCCTCTCCAGCATAAACTGTCATTGGTGGTTTTTATTTTAGCCTTTCTGACAGGAGTAAGATGGTATCTCAGAGTTGTTTTGATTTGCATTACCCAGATGGCTAGGGATGTTGAGCACTTTCTCAGGAGTCTCCCATTTTAGACTCCTCTATTGAGAATTCTCTATTTATTTCTATTCCCCATTTTTAATTGGATCCTTTGGTATTTTGAAGACTTGCTTCTTGAGTTATTCTTAAATTTTATCGATCAACCCTCTGTCAGATGTAGGGTTAATAAATATCTTTTCCCATTCTGTGGGCTGCCTTTTTGTCTTATTGACTGTGTCCTTTGCCTTACAGAAGCTTCTCAGTTTCAGGAGGTTCCATATATTAATTGTTGATCTCAGTGGTTTTATGTTCAGGAAGCTGTCTCCTGTACCAATTCATTCAAGGGTACCACCCACTTTCTCTTCTAAGAGGTTCAGTGTGGCTGGATTTATGTTGAGGTCTTTGAACCATTTGGACTTAAGTTTTGTGCATGATGATAGACATGGATCTATCCACATTCTTCTACATGCCAGCATCCAGTTATCCCAGCACCATTTGTTGAAGATGCTTTCTTTTTTCCATTGTATAGTTTTAGTTTCTTTGTCAAAGATCAGATGTTCATACATGTGTGGGTTAATATCAGGGTTTTCAGTTCGATTCCATTGGTCTACCTGTCTATTTTTGTGCCAATACCAAGCTGTTTTCAGGAATATAGCTCCATAATAGAGCTTGAAATCAGGGAAGGTGATTACTCCAGACATTGATTTGTTGATTAGGGTTGTTTTGGCTATTCTGGGTCTTTTGTTTTTCCATATGAAGTTGAGAAGTGTTTTTTCAAGGTCTGTGAAGAATTGTGCTGGGATTTTAATGGGGATTGCATTGAATCTGTAGATTGCTTTTGGCAGGATTGCCATTTTTACTATGTTGATCATACCTATCCAAGAGCATGGGAGATCTTTCCATATTCTGGTC